GGTGATGTCACACTTCGCCCCCCCCATGGACTCTGTGATTTTCTGGCCACACTGCCATCATCTATATATATATATATATACATATACATAATCCGCGGCCGGAGCCCACAGTGCCTTGGCCCCCCTTGGAGGGGGTCGGCGGCACTGGCGGTAGCCATTGAATATTATAGCAATGAACTCCAAGATTCACAAATGTCGCACCATCACAAGGCATCGACCAGCAGAGGGCCTCTGCTCTCGCTCAGATGCCGACCCCTTAGAAATGACCTGAATTGGATGTGTAGGAGATCGTAGACAACGACACGGAACCCATCAGTCGGCTCTTCTTGCATTTTGAACTTCGCAGCTGGTGGAAGGTTCGCTAGTTAGCTGGGAATGGTGGCCGGATGACCCTGGAATACACCGAATCCTTCTTCACGTGGCTCAGCTTAAGAACCCAAAGTTTGCTACTTCTGGTCCTGCACCTTGAGCTGGTCGGAGATGTGATTGGGGGCGTGCTCATGTCCGCAAGCACGTTTTTGGGGCTTCTGTGCAGCTTCGAGCATGACCGAAGATTTCCTTAGCCACCGCAAGGATCTTTCGGCGCTTTCTGGGCCCCCGTCCCGCTATAAAGACTGAAAAGGTCCAAGGGGCAGTGAAGCCTTTGGGGCTTCGATGGTTTCGGTTTCGTGCGTGGCCATCATCTCATCTAACTTGGGCGTCGGCTTTTCCGGGTCCTCCTGGGGCCTTGGGCATGGATCGGTGAGCTTCTGGATCGCTTCCAGCATGCCATCGACGCGCAAAGCCAGAAAGTCAAAGTAGTCACGAGACAAATCGTAGAGCTCCTCTTGGCTCTGCATCGTCCTGACCATATTGTACTTGATAAATCGCGGGGCCGTCTTGGAGTCGTGCACCCACCTGCTCAGTGGCGCAATAAACTCTTGAGCCTCGATTGAACCCTCCTTTTGCACGTCAATCATCTCGAACAGTTGCTGCAAGTCCATTTCGTCAATGTCCATGACGCGGAGTCGGCTCTGGAGTTCCGGATCCCGACGAGCTCCCTCTATGAGCTCTTCTAAGGTCAGGCGACCACTGCCATCTGTGTCTATTCGATTGAATAGCTTGATCAGATTTCGCCTGTCATCTTCCACATTCTGGTCCATCTCTTCAGCTAGATTTAGCACATCTTGCTCGCGGGCTTCTGCAAAGGTGTCCACTACAACTGCGACGATCAAGTTCAAAACGCCAAAAACAAGTGTTAACAGCGAGCCCACAAAAATGAAAGCAGTGTGGGGATGATCCAAAATGACGGGCACCGCGATGTCCCCCCAGCTGTCGCCGGCAATAACAGTTTTGAACAACAGCAGATTGGCCTTCATGACAGACTCCACGGCCGTCTTGCAACCCTCGCACTGCTCAAAAGCAGCTTGCTGGAGGATTGGGTGAACTATCTCGACCAAAAGCATGGCCCAAACGGTCATGATGCCGAAACAGAACACAAAGGACCAAAGCAACGCCTTCAAGCATGTAGCCATCATGGTCACCAGTTTGTGCAGCTCACGCAGGGCACGTATTCGGCGAAGGAGCCTCATCAGCCGAATAATCCTAACAAACCGCAACGCCCGCAGGACACCGAGGTTCCCAACTAAATGGCCAGGCCCCACGGCATCCAGAATGATCTCCACATAGCCGCAAGCCACAATAAACAGGTCCAGGAGAATCAGCCAGTCTTCTCTGAAGAATGACAGACCCTGCAGGAAGGCTAACAAAAGAAGCTCCAAGGTGTAGAGGCCCAGGCAAATGTCGGACAGGATGACGAATTCTGCAGGGGGTGATAACCCGGCTGCTCTCGCATCGATGTCTGCACAAGTGCAGTACGCATCCAACCTTATGCTGCCATGTGCCGCCATGCTTGACGAACCTGAAAACCTTCCCGCATGGCTACCTCGCAGTTCCGACATCCCCCCCACCCTTGAATGCTGAAATTACAGGCCGCTCTCGCAGCGTTGTTTGTGAATGCTCCACCCGGAACCCCATGCACTGCATCAGACACATCAGAATAAGGACGTGAACCACCCCGAACTCGCTTGCAAAAGTCAAGGGCTGATTTTGGGAACCCCGCGATTGATCTAGCATCAGCAGCCTGAATGCACACCAAGGCGCAGCACCACGGCCGCCATGGCGTTTGAGATGCAGCTACTTTTCATCACATCTACTCCCATTTTCTGGAACTTCTCTTTTTGGCTATGAGTTCGTCGTGGCGCGTCATCCTTTCGAGCTTTGATGAAGTCGGCGTGAACATTGACGGTGCTGGCTCGTCTGTTTCGGGCAGACTCAGACACATAGGATGCCGGCGAATGGATGGGAGAGCCAGTTGGCGATTCTGTTCTACTTCTCGTTGTTTCCGCGACAATGTCATCACTATCACTCGATGGACTTGCGCTGAGTGGGCGGAGTTGTGGCCCAACTTTTTTTGGCCCCAGACTGTGCACGGTGGCCATGCAGACGTATGCGCCACCAGGGCACGCGGTGTACCGGTCTACCCCTTGCTGCTGCAGAGCCACAACATCTGAGCGGCCAGCGACGATGTCTTACACTGCCGCATCTGGGCAAAGAGTGGCAGCAACTTTCAATGAAATAGTACATCACAAACGCATACTGACAAGACCATGCCTTCACAACAGTCGTTTCACCTGGGAGCAAAAAATAGGACGGCGAAGCTACGATCCAAAGATCGGACATAGTGGAGCAATATCTTGGCTGTGCCAATGGTAAGTGGAACACAGCCATGTGGAACCCACAGCCAGCGCTTCCTGCAGTTTCTTGGAGTGGAACGCCTTCGTAAACCTGGCGTGACTCTGATGAAGCCGGGCGTGCAGTCAAGCAACCACATGCGGCAGCCAAGGAAACACGCACAAAAACACGCACAAAAACCGAAGAATACACAGAGAACACCCCGCGCATGAACGAACATACAACACTGAATACCGAATAAAACCTAGAGAGCAAGGATCCAGGGAGGGGCTGGGGCCATAACAAATTACTCATCCGATCTGCCCTTGTCGCATCTGCCGCAGAACCGGGAACACCACACACTATGCAATTGGGCGACTTCTGTTCGCCTGTCCTCTTGTGAAAATTACGCTCTCCATCAGACACTGACACGCACACTTTAGCGAGCCTCGACACACATATCACTGCTCACTGTGTTTCCTGCCTCCAGCTTGGCGCCGTGCAGTGGAATGGCCCAAGCATGCCCAAGCTTAGCTTTGATCTAGGTACTATGGGCCAGGAGGCTGCTACAATAACCAAGGTTTAACCCACTGCAAGGCATCATAACACATCCGTCTGCATGCAGAACCATGGAAAGTCACAGCGCCCACCCGCTGATCTTCGGCACAGGCTCCAGAGCTTGACTTCATGCTCTGTTTGGTGTGTGTTGGTTCGTCCGGGCCATCGCTGGGAGCTGCAGATTTTTAAGGTCTTGTCCCGTACTGCAGCTGCATGGGCTCTTAGCACCGTTGCACGGGGTCTCATTTTGGAACTCTGCCGGAGAGTCCGGCCCAAGATGCGGAGCTGGACAATCATCATGGAGTTGCTTCCATGAAGCAGCTCACCTACCTACATCTACCTACCGCTTCCTAGCACCACCTGCGACCACCCCTTCAAATAATCTGAAGATGGCGCCGCATTGATTCGATGCTTTCCATGCAGAATGCACATGAAACGCCTCTGGGAAACGTCGCACATACGAAGACGAGATGCGGCACCCATGGCGGTGTGCGACTTCATAGGTACCTACTGCATCCCAGAGTCGCAGTGCAAGACGTTCGGCCTCTGTGCTTGGCACAGGGTCTTTTTGTTTAGCCTTTCGGGTGATACTCGCTCAAGTGCAATGCCGAATGCTCTGCCTTTGCAGCACTTGCACTTCGGGCCAGCAGTTTCCTGCGAAGCCCGCGAGGCTGAATGGCTCCAGCAATAATGGATGGAAGGTGCTCTAGGTGCTCTCTGCCAAGGTTCCATGAAGCATCTAGGCTTCAACTTGGTGATGCCCTACAGAGATAGTTCACGGGATGATGCAGACCAGGTCAACTCGAAGTAGAAGGTGGTTTTTAGTATGTGAAACGAGTGTAGAAAGATGTCCGGAGAGCGCCTTCAGAGGCCACCCAGCAAGTCTTTCAAAGAAGAGAACTTCTGAGCCGACCTGCGCCAGGGCCCCGATCATGAAGCACTGTAAAGACCAGTTCCTGGAGGCCTGTCTAATATGTATATGTATATATATATATATATTCATATTTATATACATATATATATATATATTTATATTTATATTTATATTTATATTTGTATTTATATTTATATTTTAAAGAGGAGCAAGTCTACAGTCTAGGTAGGACCAATAGCAATGAATAATGGTAGGCTGCCTGCCTGAACGCGTTCTCTCTGCTGATTGTGTACTGCATATCCGTCTCGGCTGCCTGCTTCTGCTCTTGCCTGGAAAGAGCCCCAAAAAAGTCAGAGAGAGAGGGGGAGACATTGACAGAGACAGAGACCGAAGCCCGCATTTCGCAGAGTTTCCCACAGCTCGCCCCGGCTCATTGTTGCCCGGGCTGTGGGTCAGACGAATCAGTGCACAAAATTCTGACAAACAGAACATGAAAATTGATTGTTTGGGAAATGCCACCAAAAACTCAGCAATTTTATATGCACGGTATGGACGATCTGGGAATGCTCACTCCAGGGATATTCTGCGGGATCCTCTGCAGGACCGTATGTGTCCGAAGAGGGATTTTCGGGGTGGGCTCTCCGCGGAGGGGGGGGAGGAAGGGGGCAGGCAGTCTATGGATGATACTTTGGGAGACCCTACCAAATTCTCAGGGGCATCTGAGCCAAGATTCAACTGGCGAGCAACATCCACCTGAGCCGGAAGCATTAACCGTCCGTGTTCTGCTTTGTGGGAAGCCTGTCAACAAGGCATGCTAGCCAGTAACTTTATGGTAAGGTCTACACTTGCCGCGGCGGCGGGGGCTCGGCCAGGACTGCTTTGTGGCATGTCAGTGTGGCCTCGGGTGTTATGGATGCTCGGTTTGCAAGTGGCTGGAGCCATGCACTCAACATAACTCACTCAGGGCCAAGTCGTATTGTAGTTTTGTGCGCTTGCTGCAGTCACTGCAGTCGCCGGCGCAAGACTGCACGTCCTAGTTCAGGCTAGGTGCAGCCACACGCAGCCCGCTGTGCCAGGACCCCTGTGGTGAAGGAGACCTGTTCAAGTGACACTTCTCACCGGCACGGGCATAGCAAGTTCCAGGAAGCTCTCTAGTGCTTGGGAGTTCTCGGGCGTTTGCCACATGTCCAACTGTTGCCACCTGGTTTGTCTTAACAGAAACTAGCAACCTCGGCCCGCCTGGGAGAGCCATCGGAATCGTCTTGGAGAACTTTCTTCTTCGCATGCTGCTTGGGTGCCTCAGCTGAGTTCAACAGACACGGCATGGCAGGCAGTGTTTGATGTCTTGGTGCCGTCCGAGGCTCGATGTAGCGCCTTGCAAAGTTCATGAGCGCTTCCGCTTCATTCTCTGCCAACCTCAATCAAAGGTCGCCCTCTGGACAAGTTGCTTAACATCCGATGTACATAATGTACACGATCGTCAACTGCACCATCTTTTCCAGCTGTGCGGCTTCTCTTTCTTGATCTCGAGGCCCAAAGCTTCACGAATGTCGACAGGCACCGGAGGAGGCGCTGAACGAATGGCACGCAAAGCCCGATAGTAGAGCTCCGTGTTCTCCTTGCCACAGACTCGAAGGCGTAAGACAACAAGGCACTTCAAGCCATGCTCTCCTTTATTGTGTGCCGTCTTTGCTCCTGACCCTACCGGCGCATACTAATTCTCCTGCTTTGATACAGTAGCAGCACGCATAGCAAAACACAAGCATGCCAGCGCTAGTCAGTTGTAGCATGCACAGCTCACACAGAAAGGCCACAGAACAGGACGAGGCTGATCAGAGAAGATTGTTGCTGAGCTTTCCGGTTCTTGGATGGCCTATATGTAACATTGGTTTGTGCCGCGAATTTCAAAAATCGTGGAGCAAACCATGAAAGCCGCACAAGCTGCAACCATGAGCAAGGCTTCTGCTGCAAAGAAAGCGGCACAAGAAAGCAGGGACTGAGCAGTCACACTGGCCAGTTCCGACGTTCGTGGCTAATTAATGTGGTGCCATTGAGCAATCACCCACCAGCCGGTGCAGGTCAGCTCCCACGGGCAGCGAGCAAACCATAGCTAAAAATGACTAGCCAAATAGCCCACCTATCTTCTGCGGAACGCAGAAGCTGTCGGTCAAATGACCCTGGCATCCCACAAGACTTCTTCAGACTGCTGGACCCCTTCTTGCCAGCAATGCTGACGGCTTCGGGCCCACCCTTTGAACATCCTGGCAATGCTGCCAAGCCGCACGCGAGTCAATAAACAGGGCCAAGCAGTTGAAGCATTCCTCAATCCTGGGCTAGTTGACGGCAAATAGTTCCGGACTACCGTGCCGGCCACCCAATAAATGTTCTGCTTCCGGGCTGCTGTCGTCGCAAATCGAGTACCTGCAATGAACACAGAAGATCGGCAGGTATCCTCAAGGTCGTGAAAAAAATAAACGAGAACCGTTTGGGGCGCACAAATCTGTCGCGCACAAACACACAGACACACACGCGCGCACGCACACACACACACACACACAAGCCCGGACCAAAAACACATCCCAAAAGGGGATCACAAACATTCCTGAGAATCAAAGCATACCGGGAGGAGCGACACGGCAAATTTCGCAAATTGCTGCTGTCGAAACTGCCAATACTCTGAATACAGCCATGGGAGATCTTCAACGGATGGGCACAGATCTTTAGTGTGTAACGTGAAACGTCTGAAATCACATCTTCGCTGAGTTTTTGCTTGCAAGCAGGTCTGGAGAACTGTAAGGAAACCACGGGAAATGGGGAGCTGGGCAAATCAAGACACAATGTCCCGCATGCTCCCACCATACACTACATCCTACAGAACAAGACGAAATTGCAATGCTCTTAGCATTCGCAAGTAATACAAATGATGGTTCTTGGGATGTTGTGCTGTATTGCAGGCACCTGCCCAGAACGTCGGGTGTGCTACGCATGTGCGAGCGTCCCGGCAGCTGTCCCTCAACAACTTCTTGCGTATCTTCCTCTCTTGCGTAGTGGGGGGGAGTAAGGAACTGCAAGTGTCATGCACGTGGCCCATTTCCCAAACAGGGAAGCCTCGCAAATCACACCAGGGTGTTACCAAAATGTCCTGTGTCTAAGCCAGTACAGAAACCAAGGATGCAGGGACAATAGATGAACATATTCCCCAGATTCTCAATAACTCAGTTCGGCCACCATCTCCGCCAAAAAATTGCAGCGCTGCTCCAGCATTTCCATCCGCCTCACACCGGCAATTGCGATGAGAACAAAACAATATGGCCAGCACATGGGATGCAACACATACTTAAGCAAATTGTCAATAGTTCAATCTGTGGGAGAACGCCCGCTCTCTATCTGGAACGACCGGTGCAAGCAGAGGCGCTTCATCAAACTGTCGGACCACAGGGCAAGCTTGGTGTAGTCTTTGGGATTGATGTCCTCCAGGGTAGAGCTTTGGGCATCTTCTAGAACAAAAACGGCCCTTTTTGTTTAAGCGGGCTTGTAAGGCAGCCTTAACCCTACAAAGAGGTAAGAAGGGCCTACTCTGGGTCCCAGTCTTTGAGCAATCGCGGCACGAGGTGTCGCCGCATGAAGGGCCATTAGAAACGAACCACGTTCTGCTGGAGGATGCTGACATCTGACTACTGATTACTGACTACTGCACGAAACGGTCGTCATCAGCAGTTGCACGAGGGCGCAGAATTGATTCAGGTTTTGTTAGTGTTTGGAACTTTTTTCTGCGCTTCCGCACGCCCGTGTCGCTCTCCAATGTGAAATGCGCAGACCCTGTCGGCGGTGGCGCATGCCCATGTCGCCTTCTTCTCCGTACTTCAGGTTGCTCCTATCAACTTTCATCTGAAAACCTCTATCTCCCCTGTTATTCACCCTATAACACAATATGAAGCCTGTAATAGGTCATCTATATTTCAACACGACGACCTCATATTGTCAACGTGTAGGCAGAGAAGCATGAAAGTTCCTAATTGTCTACCGTATGATGTCTTTGCTTACTCTACACTTAAGGCATGAATGTTTCTTTTGGGCTTTGATCATGATGTTTCATGACCTCCCTTCCCCTCCCTTCACCTCCCAATCTCCCTCCCTTCCCTCCCCTCTTCCCACCTCTCCCCCTTCCCCCCTCCCCTTGCCCCCTCCCCTTCCCCCCTCCCCTTCCCCCCTCCCCTTCCCTCCCTTCTCCTCCCCTCCCCTTCCCTTCCCTTCCCCTCCCTCTCTCCCTCCCTTCCTTCCTCGCTTCCTGCACGTGGTCCCCTTTCTTCCTTTGCAGCGCGTGGTGAGTCGCACTTCTTTCTTGCGTGATCTGCTGCATGGTCTTGTCGCTTGTTCCCGCAGTGCGCTTCCCATTGAGGTCCCACAACGCAGCCCAGTCCTCAAGCATGGAAGTAATGCCCTCAACCAGCCTTAGCTGGAAATTACGTGCTGCGCAACCTTGCAACCTTGCAAGCGCGCAAAGAATGCCCCAGCGGCGCTCGAACCAGAAGCCTCCTTGCAAGCGGGTTGCTCCGTGAAGCTTACGTGCCCGCCTCTGTTTCAAGGAAAGTCGCATTCTGCTCCCATGCCGAAGTACCGTCAAGCAACTGCAACGCGGCATTCCAAGCTAATGTTGCAACCGAAGTCGCGCCCCACACGGTCAAACAGCCGCATGAGATTCTCTGCGTTCATTACGGGCACCTGTCACCAGATTGCGATAAATCTCTAAGTAGCACCCTGGCCCGAGCTCTATAGAGCATCCACCTCGGCAAACCGGGCAAGACGGCAAGAACAAATGCGCAAGAACGGTGCCTCAAGGAGCCTGAGGATCTCAACGAACTCCTGGAACGGGAAAAACTGATGAAGCCAGATCATGTTCTGCGACTCGGCAGATGCAGCAAGCAGACTGACGGATGCTGCGCAAGCGTCCTCATTTGCCAAGGCTTTTTCCAGGTCAGAGAGGTTCAGTTCCCCGTCGCCATCCTGGCACCCCATCACATCTACATGGCACGCTGCGGCCGCCCCTTACAACGAGCCTCATCGATCAGCAAGAGCAAGCGCCGGGCCCTGAGGCCGGACAAGCGTCCTTGGGGAGAGGGCAGATGCAGCTGGCACTGCAATGCACAGCGATTTGAGGTCAGAGTGAAGTGAGTTGAGGCTGACAGGTGGCGGTTTTCTCGCTCGATCTCCTTCAGGGCCTTCTCAAAGGCTCTCGATGACTCCAAGGAATCCTCCACCAAAGCTGAAACATAGAGGGGCAGGGGAACTGCACTTGCCGGGCCTGGACAATGTTCGAGATGATACAGGTCACCTCAAAGTCAGAAACAGCAAAACTACAGCACGTGCAGTCTCTGCAGTTCCAGCTGACGCACCTTTTTTGCAGTGCACGGCTGCATGGCGATGCATACATAGCGCATGGTCTGCCAAAACCCATTCCACCTCAACCATCCTCAACCTGCCTCCAAATGCACCTGACTGTAGCCAGCTTGTGCAAAAGTGCGACCCTGCCAGAAAGTTGTCCATTACTTTGCACGAACGTAATCCACGAGTCGGAGCACCAAGCCGAACGTGGTCATCAGCAAGAAAAATGCGAAGAAGATGGCCTCATCAGGTCATGCCCCACAACCCCAAACATGCTGCAGCGGCAACATGTTGCAACTTTATCGCATCGCGACCAGCCCATCCGTATGGCCCAATGACGTCTGGTATAAGTAAGAACCAGGGGTGAGTCGTAGCTCACCGCATCACGTGGTGCACGCCAGGATGCTAGTCCAGGATACTTGAGAACCACCGGGCGCCCAATGTGGTCCGCCCACTGCGCACCAGTGACCACCTGGAACATTGTCAAGAAGCCTCAGGTCAACAAGAAACAAAAGGCAGAACGAGGAACTCATTGCAACCTGGCCCTTTCAGGATGAAAGCTTGCATCAGCTGGGTGACTCATCCAAATGTTTCCGAAGTATTCGCGGTTGTCGAAAGACTCAAATGGCTCAAACTGCTGCAGCGGATTTGTGCCTTTGCAGCAGAAGAGAGAATGCCATCCAGCGCTAAAAGGCTTGTGCCATCCAGCACTAGGCAGAAAGGCTTGTGCAGCCTTGCCCATGGCTGGTGTTGCGAGCCGCATGGGTCTCATGGCAGGCAATGACTCATTCGAGCAAGCGACTACCGTTCCACATCGCTGATCTTCCGATAACCTGGCCACGGACTGGCTCAACTCCCTATGCTCCGCACCACTGCTGCTTCCAGGCCTGTCGCGTACAAGCGCCAGCGGTCCACACAATGGAGAACAGGAATAGCACGGTCCACAACAACGTCCTGCACGGAAGAACAAAGGTGACAAAAGTAAAACCATAACTTCGACCCATGCACAGGCTATCGAGCTGAGCAGTCCTTGCAGCCTTGCTGGTCCCACCAAGCAATACGATAAGCTCCTTTGACTTCGACATGCTCTTGAAGGCACGGATAAGCCGAAGCAACCTGTGCAGAGATTGAAGTCTCAATGAGCCTCAACCCAACGTGCTACGCTCAGGTTCTCTTGACTAGCCTCGTTCCATGTAAAGCCATGGCCTGAGCAACCGAATTGATGGCAGCGATCTGGCCATAGAAGCCCCTGCAGCCATGCGCTCCACGAAGGTCAGGAGAACCAGTGCAATATCGAGGCCTGGAAAGCCAACGAGCATCGAGGCTTGCAGCGAGCACGAGCTAAGCAGTCGCGAGGCGAGACTGAATGTCAGTGCATGTGCCGGTGTGATGCACAAAAAACAGTAGAATCGACTCCACCAACTTGCCAGACATCCCCAGGAACTGAGGCGTGTGCAAGTGAGAGCGTCTTTGATTGCGGGAAGGCCGCGTGCTAAGAATCGGAGAAAGATTTCACCTCAATCTCTACGACCAGAGTTGCCAGGAAAGTATTAGCTTTCATGGTGCTCCGCTTCATTACCCGCATACAAGATAATGAAATGAGATCATCTCCACACGCATTGAACTGCAAACCCGCGCCGGGACTGAATGCATCGTGGTCACACATGTAGATGAGCAAGAAACCGTTGTTGGTGATAGAGAACACGGCGGGCGCGACATTTTTCAGCTCCAATTCCAGACCTCGCTTTCAGGCTTCGGGGTGAAGTTGCACGTTAGACCTCGTGATTAATGGATGTGGCCTTGGTCGCATACGTTTATGTACTGTTGCAGCACTTCCTGTGCATTTTGCAGAAAAGGCTTCGCAGCAAACATTTCAGCGCCTGTTGGCCGGTGTTTCGCGTGCCCCAGCACCCACTGCATCCGCGAACCAATCAAAAGTGGCCAAAGAAACATCTGTGCTGTCTGAGTGCCTATGACTACGGAGTTGGTCAAGACCACTGTGGCCATGATGGTAGCGAACCACTGCGTCTCCACCTTATGCACAGCAGCCAGCATGCAGTGGCGAGTGGCGAGCACGACATAGCACGAGGGTGCGCTTGTTGCAGGCAAGCTACCATTGGCACTGCTTTCTGAGATGCGAGTTGTACTTTTTCCTCGACCACTCTAACTTTGCACGGGCTTGCATGGACACCATGCAAGGCGGCACAGAGACAAGGCCGGAGCCTCTTTGTGCTGGTGGAAGTGATCCTGCAGTTCTTCGGACCTGGATTGGACTACCAAAAAAGTGCTTCGCAGAATCCCTGCCCTGCAATGGCCAGCTTCGCAAAGTTCTCTTGTCTCTCTCCTGCGCTTTCTTTGCGGTCCTTCCTTCCAAAAGGGGGAGGGCTACCTGCACACCGCCCGATTCGCGAGTGCCATGCCCTAGCAAACAAGCCATCTCGCTGCGGGTTTCTTACGTTTCTGCGATGTTTATGTGTGTATACTTATGTTGATCTTTCGTGGTGCAATTCTTCAACTGTTTTTTCATGTTTTTTTGTTTGAGTCAGTTTTTGTTCGTTTCCTTGCTTTTTTCTTCCGTTGTTGAGTCGTCAAGGGGTGCCCGCATGTGAACGAAACTGTGGCACAAGCGTGTCTACAGTCTGCTGATGTCATCCCAGGTTTTCGGAGACAGCACGATTCGTCAACTCCCCTCACTCTTATTCATCAGTTTTTTTGACCCCTACAGTGGGCTAGGGCCAGACTTTGTCTGAAGACAGACAGAGAGCGAGTGAGACGCAAAGAAAGAAAGCTAGGAAGGCAGGGAAAGAATGAGGGAGAAGGAAAGTAATAAACAAACGAGAAAGACCCCCCCCCCCCATTGCGCTAGTTCACGCGTCGGCAGCGCCGCTTGGGCTCTTTGACATGGCTGTTGGGACCAAACAGCATGCGACATGGGCGATACTGCTTCGTTCTCCTACTTAGCCCCCTTAAATTGGTTGTTTTGTATTCTTTTTGTCATTGCAGCCGTGGCACGCCATGGGTTCTTCGGCATCCCTGGGATGCACAGATACATGGGATGCAAGTGAGGCGACAGGAGCAATGGAAAGGAAGGGCTGCCAAAGAGCAAGATATGAAAAGAAAAAAGAGGGACAAGTTCGTACATAGCCTCTCCGCTAAAGTACTCCAGCCCCAAGTCGGTGGAGGGGGTTTGGAATACAAGCCGTTCACATGCGTAATGCTTCCTGAGAGGCAGTGCTGCTGACTGCCTTAGCTACAAACCGAACATGCTACAAACATGAGCACGGATCGACCCACTGTTCTTCGCACTTGTCGGCAACACCTTGAAGTCTGGCCTATGAAGCAGGTCCGATGCAGTGTGCATTCAGCCACTTGGCTGCGCTCGCCTGTCAAGCGCAAAATCTTGGTATGGTCGAGGCGAGTCTCCGGTTGAGTGATCTCGACGTCGTCGTGCGATGCAAGTCTTCATCCTCTTCTGGAAACACCTCCTCCTGTGCATGATGCTCATCGCTCCAGCTTGTCAGAACCAGGGCAGAGCAGCTCTGACTGGCATGCGCAAAGCAGTATGACAGTATGACGTAAGCCGGGCACAGAGTAGCTTCCCGATGCGAGAGTATCTGGACTTGAAGCGCGGACATCAGAGGCTTCTTGAATGCCTTTCCACGGCCTCGGCAGTCCAGGCTTTTGCGTGGCCAAGCAAGCATGCGGTGCCCCGGCCGTGATGATGAGGATTCGAGGCAAGGGTACTAGAGCACAGGAGCCGGGTGACTCGTGGTGGGTTACGAAAAAGAGCCGGCACGCGAGCGACTACTTGTGCAAGCAAAGTATGCGCTACACACTTGTTCGGTTCATCCAAGGAATCGATTCGTGTTTTTCCGCGGCCACCCAGTCCCTGAACCCAGAACACTTCCCCAGAGGCACCCATGCACGGGATTCCACAGCTCTACCACAGGTCCCCACATCCTGTATTTACCTCTCCAGCAGTACTCTCACGTGGCGGACTTGAGCAGACCCTCGCATCAACAGAGTGAAGACCATCACTCAGGCTTCAGGCTCCAAGACTCCTCTTGACAATGGCAAGTCCTACTATGCATGGGCTGCTGAGGCCCGAACTCGTGTTCTAAATGTTCGTGCCCGGGCGGGCGAGTCATCCTCTGAGCCGCCACACGTCTCCAGATCGCGCGCGGCCATTGACAGGAACTATCTGAGCACCATCTTCCCAACAAGCCCAAGGCTACTAACTACTAGTTATTGCCGTTCGTTCTGTTGGGGTCTGTGGTCTGCTGTGCTGTGCTGATACACACATGATGCTGCTGTTACAGCCAGTGGTGCTTGGGAATGACACAGCCAACTTCAACTTGAGGATAAGATTTTGGGGACTGCGGCAAGCAACCAATCAGTCGCAACGCAATGTGAGCGGAAGAAGGACGAGAAACAAATGAACAAACATCGATGGGAGGGAGCACTTTGCCATGCATTTTGCATGAGGCATCTGGCTTTGGAACTTTAGGTTCAACTGTCTAGGGGGGTATCTATTTAGGGACCCACTCATCACATCTCCGTCCAAGAAGAAACTGCCTGAGCTGGCAACTGGCGACTTTTCTCGAATCTCTTCGAACTCTTCGAACTTCGAACCTCTTCGATTTTTCAGCTTTCCACTCTCTCAGAATGGTCCCTTTTTGCGAGGCGTTCTTTCACTCAGCTCGAAGTCTGACGCCCCATTCTCTCAGATTGCGCGCCCTCCCTGCGAGGGACGGCGTGTGGAAGCTCTCTGCCGGCGGCTCTCTTAGGTTGCGCGAAGTTTGACCCCTTTCTAGCCCGCTCAGGAATTGGGCGAATCGGTTCAGGTCGTGTCCCCGACGTGGTCTTCCCGTGGGTAGCTAGTGCAACGAGGTGCATTGAGGTTTTGGCATGCGAGGTTGCTGCTTCCAAGAGCGTGCCTCGAAAGAATACACGATGGTCGAACTGAACACAAGCATTCTTAGCAGTGCTGTTTTTCACCGAACGGTCGCGAAATTCAGCGGTTGTCCAGTGTGTGGAGACGGTGAGACTTCGCAAATGAGCCATCTGCCCCTGATGGGCCTTCAGTCCTGGGGCAGCCTGAGTCTACATGATTTCTGATTTTGCTGAGCGGCATCTCCCTGAAAGGTGCGGAGTTGGAGCTTGGCAGCCAGCGATCTCATGCTTTGCTTTGCGAGCTTCGCGGTGCGCTCTGAACCTCTGCTGTCATAAGGGAAGAGGGGCAAGCAACGAGCCCAGCAGCGTCCCCCGTTCGTCCCGAAGTCCCCGAAGTCCAAGATCCAGGCCCATATTGCATTCAAAACGCTGATGTCTTGCTCCTGAACTTGGATTGCGGCGAAAACAAAACCAACATCATTTTGGTGTCGAAGGACTTGCGGCGCCGACACCGTGTGCCGAACTAGCCCTCGGTCCCTCGGAAGTCATCTAGCTGTGTAAGCTGAAGATGTTTGGAACCTGCATTCCTCTCGGAGCTTCAACGATTCAACTCTGTCACGCTGGTGCCTTGGGAACTGATGGCAGCTCCCCGAGCTGGCAGACTGGGAACACCTGGCCGGCAAACTCCACTCACATGTTGGGACCTTTGCAAGTGTAGCATAGGTTGCTCATATCATGTTCACGGACGTCAATCCAGTCGGAGAGACGCTGCTGACGGCCTGCGTCAAGAATTGAGCTGAGCAGCGTTCATAAGCCGGAGAATGCCATCACAACTTTGCCTAATTCCACCCTCGGTGTGGGGTTGTTAGATTGTTAACAAAACTAGTTTCCTCGACCGGTCTACTCCTCGCCCATCGGACCGGCATCTCACTCGCATCCCACCCCAGACTATCCCCAAAAGAAACCAGGAGTGCCCTATCCTCTGCAGTGCAACCCCAGAGTATGTTCAAGAATTAAAATAATGTGGTCTATTACGCTCTCTGCGCTTCAATTGCCGAGCCGACCTAAGAGGTGCACCTCTTCCGCTTCCTCGTGCGATGTCTCCTCGACGGAATTCCCACTCCTCACACCTCCACAGCACGCAGCGCGCAGCACTCGAAACGACATGACACGCAAAGCAAGCGCTGTCACAAGCGCTCTCCGGCACATGTCGCAATGCCCGAGTGCTGGAACGGCAATGCTTTCAAATGTCTTGCAGCTAAAGTTGCTAAAGGCTGCAAGACTTACAGACTTAGCATGGTTGCAGAGGTTGTCGCTTGCCTTTGAAGGAGAACAGGCGTACAAGGCTTTGCTTCCTTCCTGCCCACGCATGACGCTGTGCATCCTGTGTCTGCATCGAAACATGGATGCGATCAGCACGATGCATCAAACCGCGTTGGGGTCCAATCTCTTTTTGCGCTGGGGCGGATGCAAGGATTTTGCGTCCGCATGTCAGCGGTACGAGATGAAACACTCAGTCACGCATGATCGGCATTGATCAACTACAGCGGCTCTCAGTTCTCCGCATCATTGCGCACCTGGACCGGAGGACGGGGTGAACTGCAACTGGGAACCCTTCTCGATTGGCGCAGTGCTCTCCGCCACGTTGCACGCCTGTAACAAAGACTGCGTCCACACCACAGAGCTCTGGATCTCACGAGTCAAGCTTGCAGCCAAAGGAGGCACTGGGGCTGATGGCTTCCCAGTCAAAGCGAGCTTCTTGGATTGCACCGTGTGCTGGGCCTGGATGGCTTCACAGAACTTTTGGGCATCCTCGGCGATGCTTTCAGCCTCTGACACCACCTGCGTTATCTCCTGTGCTTTCTGGAGAGTCTGGCGAATGTGTTGAATCAGGCACGCGCTTGCTGCCTGGCTTGACTCCTCCGCACTGACGAAGGCCACCGTTGGAGCCGGGCTGGCCACAGCTGCGATCGGCTCCGACATGACCCGGTGAAGCTCAGTCCTGATCGATGTTGGGGTCAGAGTTTTTGTGCGGCCTCCCGTCTGAGTCACTCGAGCCAAACAGTCGCGAGCCAGTCAGGCGAAGGAGAATTCAAGAGCAAACATGATGCCAGTTGTCAGGATGCAACACGCAAAAAGCCATGTGCCTGCTGGCACCTCAGGCTCCGCAGAAGCCTCCACAACCAAGCTTCACGGTACACAACTCGAGTTTTGCCACGCTTACCTTTTTCAATCGCAAAGCTATCTGCATTGACGTCTGAAATCTCATAACAGATTTAAGTGTCTATCCTCTTGTACTACCCTTCGGCGCCCTTCGCCACATCGCTGCTGCTGGTCAATGGCATGCCACATGAACACTCACAACCGAATGCTGCCAAAGGAACCTCTGCACTGCGCACGTCAGAAACGCCGCCGGGCCAGCCCAACTCGCGCATCTGCCGCAAAACATGCGGCTTTCGCGCACTTCGCTTCCAACAACAGCCAAGAAATCGAGCCTTGACTGCCAGCGCACGATCCGCCCGGTACCTCGGCAGATCTATCGACCCGTCGACCTGGTCCGATGGGGTGATCAAAGGGCCCGGCTCTCTGAAGAGGACGGACATGAACAGGACGCCCTCGATGATAAGCACCGCACTGGCTACCTGGCTGAGGAAATGTCTTCATCATTACCATGACCATTCAATGACCAACTTGACCTCACAACTTCTGCGACTCAACATCACGAAAAACTCGCTACCTCCAACTAGCCAGAGCGTCGTGAAAGCCGACTCTAATGGATGGCTCGGGCGTTTGCCTTGTTCCATCTCATTCTTATACAACTCCTATGCACGGAATGCCACTACATCGCCACTCGGAAGCTTATAAGGATGGGGCTCCTCGCTTGAGAGCTCCAAGTCGAAGGATGATATGACCTGGACGAAGCAACGGACACCAAAAGGCACCTGTTGTCTGAACATACCTGTGTGAGACGCGAGTTGCCGCGAGACTGCTCCAGATGTTGATGCTATTGCTACTGTAACTCACCTGATGCCGAGGGGTCATCTGATGGCCTCCCTGCTTCACCCAGTGTCTGTTGATACGGTTTGGTGGTCAGATTCGGCAGCGGCGGCCAACACGTGCTGAAACGAGCAGGCAAACAACAGTCAAACAACAAACATCTGCTGCGGTCCCTGAGGACCGTGCCAACAGCAGAGCCAAGGGCACCCGAACCACGAGCAGCAGCAGAAGCATTGGCCTAACGACAACTAAACAACACGTCTGCAAGACAAAGTGACGTGAAGCCATCAGAACTTCGCATGTTTTCGCAAGCACCACAACGACTGCTGAAGCCTGGCCTCCAGAACTGCCAGAGAGCGGCTTCATCCAGCAGCCAATAGGTGGTCCTGGCTGGCGCAGACTTGCTCTCTTGCTCTCTGTTTCTTATGTTCTGCTCACACGATGTAAATTTAGCCAGCTGGGCTGGTTGGCACAGGTCCATGCTTCCCGGTAAAGAGTCAAGTAAAGAGGTGCCTGGCGGCGAATTTCGCGAACTCATGCGGCTAAAGCCCGTGGACCCGCACAACTCTGTGCGCCAAAAGAAATCCGCGTGCGTGCTGCCAAAGCAGATTCGGCACAGGCAATTGTGCTAATTGTACCCCCCCACTTTCCCCTACTTGCACCCCACTTGCACAACATGCGAGGGGATTGTGCAAATAATTACGCTGCAGACCGTGAATGCTCCAAAGTCTCACCCCCACCCCCGCGCAAAAACTCCCGAAGGTAAATGGGAAAAGGCTGTGGTTGCGCAATGGAGTAGCGTGAATCGGGCAAACGGGTATGTCGAAATAGCGGGGAAACAACTCCAAATCTCAAGCCTGAACCCTGAACAATCTTTGGATGCTCCACCAAGCTGCTTGAGACCCACCTATCTCCCTTTTGAACTGTCAAGGGCACCAATGTGTAGACTGGTTGAAGCTGTGGGGGCATTCCACCGCATGCATGGGAGAGAGCTGAAGACTGCGGATGACGCGTTCTCTTGGACTCTGCACATAATCAGCACCTCGAGTCAAGCCATGTAAAGCGTTCAAAGTCACCCCTCAAAGGGCCGTGCCCCGAAAGGCATTGTCAGTAAAGACCGTTCAATTGAGCTCCCATACTGGCGTTAAAATGCTTTAAAGCCGCTTGATCTTTGGCATTGGCAATTTGCGGCCTGGCTTGCTTTGGGTACAATGCCGAGAACAGCCCCAACGTGCTTGGACTTTCCCCGCGCTGTATTGCTTCCTTGTTTCAAATCACGATTACTGAAGTGCAAGGCCATCGGGTCCCAAGTTTCGAAAATGTGGAGCAGCAGACAGGAGATGCACGGAATACTTTCTGTTTTCAGCTTGCAGACGTCGACTCTCGACTGATGCATCAGCTATTTGCGGAGTCATTCTGAGAATGCGCTGCCTGATTCTTCTGCAAGGGTTTTGGTACCGCAAACGCTTGTACCTTTGAGGAAAGGAAATCCGCCACATGCCGAGCATCGCAACCCGCATCTGAAGTTCTTGGAAAGTGCCTCATCCTGTGCATCTCTGCACTCTACTCAGCAAGTCCCAAACCAAACGCAAGATCCACACACCAGAGCCGAAAACCATGCTCTGTTGGCATGTGCTGGAAGGGATCAGAACTTCAGAACAGGTATTCGAAACTGGGGAAGCAGCTTGTCATGCACGAAAACAGCCACCTCCCAAAGCAGCGTCGCGAGACCAAGACCTGCAGCACGCTTGCACGGATATTTGCAGGACGTTATGGGAACCTGGCCCTCTTGCAGGTCACTGCGTTGTTGCTCCATATGTGTTTCGTTTGGCTACAGCACTACATTCGTCGGCAGGTCGTTGAAGAGAGCTAGAGAACGAGAAAGGGGGAGAGGCAGACAGGGAGACAGGGAGTGGCAGCCGAGGTCTGAACCAGGGAGCCACAGGAGAGCCCCCATGAGGAATATGCCGAAGCAAGTTGCATTGCGGATGCAAGACCTGCGGCAAACATGAGCTAGGAGCGCTTGGGGCTGAGAGTCTGTCCACGGTGTTCTGCGCAAGGAAAGCAACAACAATGCGCCAGTTGCAGCACCAGAATTCCGCAAGTTGAGGCGGCCGCACAAGAAGGATTGCCTGGCAGCATTGCAAGCAAATGCGCAACAGATGGCCAATTATATAAATAAGTATAGTCTTTTTCGGAGTTACCATGATAAGGCGGCCCCTGATATTTAGGGTGCTCAAGAACGGACATAACTTTGAGAACATGCCATTTGTTTCGGCATCGTCTCTGCCATCCGCAATGTAGGAGCAAGCGGCTGCACCAAACAACTGATATTCATGGCCGAAGATGCGGACAAACACATAGGTCGTTCACGCGAGACGAGCGACGAACGACACACAAAGAATGGAAACGCTGATCGCATAATCAACGCGGACTGCACTGGAATCTCCAGGTTGCTGAAACAAAAAAAGGCACACGGAAGCTTGTTTTTAAACTGGTTTCTCCTTGTCATTCTTTGACTCTCAGCCATGCATGGCTACAACATGCTACAACCATGCTGTCCAAGCTCTGATTCCGCGCAACAACATGAACGAAATGAATGCAAAAGCAGGCTCGGGTTCCCAAACCAAACGACATTCAGCGATGAGAGCTACGACCAACATGTGGTTTCATGCTCCATTTCGGTACTGCCCCTGCCCCCCGCCCTTAGGCCTACAATCCTACAGCTTGAACCTTTTCTGATGGATTCTGTGACGTGCTGGCCCACATACTATGCCTTCCAACATCCCCCAACAACAACATCGGGGATGGTGTTGCCGATGCATTCGGGAATCGTTGTTCCACGTCAACGCGGCTCAGGCTGCAGCCAGATGTTCCCTCTTGGATCGCAGTGCAAGTGCGGAATAACCTCATAACCACGGGCTTTCAATGTCGCCCACGGACCATAGAAACACTACTGACTGGGGCAGCGCCTGGCAGAAAAGTGCCACATGAATCGACATCCTGCCAAACGGTCCGGACCAGCCAAACAGTGAGCGCAAGATCGTGCAGGTGCGTGTTCAACGTAGTGTCAATAATTTTGGGAAAATGATCGGCTACCAGCTGTTACAAGTGCAAGAATGTGGGCTGGCAGGTCTCCTCCCACAACAAGTTCGCATAATGACCTGCGGCTATGGCCTCAGAGCGCAGCACAAAACATGGCAAATCAATGCAAATCATCACATGAAAATGCACGCATGATATCGAACAGGATGTCAGGGCTGCACAAAAACAACCTGGTAGCCAACGCTGCCATGAAGAAGCCAGTCCTCAAAGCGTGTGTTCGATTTGCTGCGGGATTTTCTGAAAGTCTCAGCATTCTCAGCCCAAAGCCTGCCAAGTTAAAGCGGTCATCAGCATCTCAATCACCAGTGGCAGCAACATCACAAAGTTCACCTGCGAAACAAGGCCCAGACCATTGAGCCACCACAAGCGTGATCTCAGGCTGCGGCAAGCACACAGCCCCGGGAACGCCTCGACAAACCATCAAACGAATCAAACGTAGCACAAAGGTCCATGCCGAACGCACGTACGATTTGGGAAGCAAGCACAAAAGCACATGCACGATCGGGCCGTGGGTGCAATGATGTTGGCCCCTGTGATGTAAGGAGAGCACGTGAGACGTTTCCTGCGCAAATGCCGGCCAACAGTTTCGTGCTCATGCATCAGCGCACAGCGCCCGGCAATCCTATGCACCAGAAAGCTGCGGTTTCTGTCTTGGATGGCAGCGTGCACCGCTGGCCTTCGACACATGCACCACATTGGCCAGTATACACAAGCTCGGACTCTGCCCATCGTGCCTGTTGCAATCGTTGTCAACAATGAAAAAGGCTTCCCGCAAGCTCCTGCAACAGCATCGGCAGAAATTGAAAGAATTAAGTGTCTGCCCCGGAAGACCCCGAATAAGAAACAAATCACAAGGGGCTTTTGTACTGACCGCAAAAATA